TTATAATAAATTTATTGCACAGATTAATTGATTAATAATATCTTTTATGGCTGGGATTATCGTTGCGCTTAGATTAAAATCTATCCATATCTGAAAATCCACCACCAACGTTGCTTTAACAGGACTTATTGATACTTATTTACAAAATATTGAACAAATTGATTTATTTTTGTGCGAAAAATATTTTCTTTATTTTATTTATTTCAATTTAGAAAGGTGTCAAAATTTTGTAGTTCAACAAAATTTCGTTGCGTTTAGTGGACTTGGCTTTATATTTATCTAACACTGAATAACAATTAAAACTATTTGTAAAATTAATTAGTTCAGGAAAAAATTGCAACGCAGTAATATCTATTGCTAAATAGCACTGTCATAAGAATTAACACTAGATTTCAAATTAAAAACATTCGGGTTTCTAGTTCCAGGTATACTGTTAGTTCTAGTGACAATGTTAGTATAAAACTGGAACTAACACTAGAACTAGAAACATTCGGGTTTAGCCGCACGTCTCTCAAGTCGGCTAAACCCGAATGATTCTAGTTCTAGGTCTAGTGTTAGTTTTAGTGATAGTGTAAAACTAGAACTAACACTAAACCTAGAACTAGAAATATTGGGGTTTAGCAGTGCATCTAATTATGACATAAANTCGATGAAAATTGCAACATCGAAAATTTTATCAAAACTTCAAATATTGTTTTCTCAAAAACTAAAAGTTATTTTTCAAAACGTGTTGGTTCATTGGAAAGAGGACACTTTTATTAACACTTTGGCACATTTTCATACTTATATTCCAAAAACTGGATTTTATACGAATTTTTAAAACTTAATCGGCGAAAATTGCAAAATTTGAAATTTGATCATTTCAAAAATTTTTATCTCAAGGACTGAAAGTGATTGTTCAAACCTGATATAAATAAAGTTGTATTCAATGAAAATAGTCCTGTTGGGGTTGAACTTTCAACGTACTTAATCGTTTCTTTTAAAAATGATTAATTTTTTAATCCAACTAAAGATACCATCTTAAACTTTAATCAATAATTTAAAGGGGGAGTTTTGCAAACATGCAAGAATATATTGGGGAAGAGCGTGAGAAATTGTCTCCTCTACGAAAGATTACAATTCAATACTAATATAATTATCATTATTGGCTTTTCTAATCCAGACTGCTAATATTGGAGGGGTTGATGGTTATCCGGTAACCCGACACCAGAGCTCCGGGCAATGCTCTTTTGTCCGGGAGTGTGTCCGTAATGGACTGAAGAGTCTGCGGCTAACTGAGCAGTTGCTTCAAACCCACCCCAATATATTTACTCGTTCACAGTTCAAATTAAGGGATGCAGAAATATTCTCAAATTTAATACAATTAAAATCTTTTCGATTCCGATAATTTTATGTTAATTCGATTTTTTAATAGTGAAAATTAGAAAAACGTGACCGGAAAAGTAATTAGTAACATAAAAATCCGCCTTGGAAACGAATAAAAACCTTGGAATGAAAGTCATCTAATTGAAACGGAAAGGGGAGGATACGGTAAGAAAGAGTCTAACACTCTCCATGCAATCTTCTTTTTGGCTTGAGAAAAGTGGGGTGGAAGAGCGGAAACGGCGAGTGGCAATTTTAAAAATGGACCAACCCCGCCTTTCCTTCTGGCAATGTCACGACGTTTGGCGTAATTGCAAAAAACTGTAATTAAGGGGTGAGACGAAGAGACGTTAATTGATTCGAAAACGGGAAGGAAGAATTCGTGTCGTAATTATTTTTCTTTTCTTTCACATCCCCCCGACAAGTTTTTTTTTTTTTCATTCTATTTTACAAACGAACCTCATTATTTATGATTTTAATTTTGTCTAAGAAACAACAGTTTTTTTGAAATTTCTTAGCTTAACTTAAACTTATTTATCTAATCATTATTTATTATGATAAAGAAATAATCCGTATATAAAATGAAAGATATCAGCTAATTTGTAGATCATGATCCTTTTCTGCTATATTCTGCCACGTTTTGCCATTATTTCTGCTGATTCCTCATTACACCAAATAGCAAATTATAGATAATTCAGTCTATAATTCATTGAGTTTATCAGTCATTTTTTCTCATATCAGTCTTTTGATGATAGAGGCAGAATTGATTATCTTTTGGGAGAACTAACAATATAAAAACTAAACTTATTGTATCAAAAGAACTTAATGTAGAATTTTCCAGAGATAAACGTTGTAAATTGCGAACTGAAAACGAAGGGAAGTACGTTGATCATTAATTTTTCACATTCCCTGGGGATAAGTACGTTTCTGTTCTTTTCGGATAGGTAGAGTTCAGACAAAGTGTGCACGTTCAAGAACGGACAGTGTTTATTGGCGCAAAGGAACGGTAAACTTTGAGAGAACCAGTTCCGGGGTTGCCTTTCTCACACGCGAAAAGAAGCCCGCCGAGCAACCTACGCGGTGATTTCCGGAAAATCTGAGGCTCCGAACCGTCCTCGTCGTCGGAAACGGCCGATTTAGAATTCTTCTCGCGAACCGGCTACAAATTACCAAAAAGAAATTGAACTTGCGCAGAACCGGAAGGCGAACTCTCCATTAAGACTTGATGGTTCACTTTAAACATTCCTTATTCTAAACCCGATCTTTCGTTTTAACGTAATTGTATTATTTTTCGAATCGAATCGAAAAACATCGTATTTCCACAAGCCTATTTTAGTTAGTATAACGAACTAACATCCCTCCATGATATAATCTTTTTGGGACCTTCCGTGATCGTAGACCCATGTGGTTCGGCGTTAACATAGAGGGCCATTTGCTGCCCTTAATTTTATTAGCACCCCACTGAAAGAACTCTACTTGGAGTCAAAGTAAATTGATATAGTAGTAACTGTATTCTTTTTACAATTTTTTTTCGTTGAATGCTAAGTTAAATTTAAAAATATAAGAGTTGAAATAAATTATTAATTAAGTGATACACACATTTTTAGAGCACTTGTTCATATGACATCCTCATACAGGGTGTTTGTGCACTTGCTCAAAGTGTTTTGTCCTATAACAAAATAAGGGGGCGCGGGAAAAAAATAATTAACTTATGAAAGCTGCTGCCCTCTGTTCTGTACGGAAACCCTCTGGGCCCCAAATCAAGCGCACGCTGATTGTTGGTCACCCCCAAGAGACCTGGGCGTTCTCCGGTATCACGTATATAATAATCACATGGGGGTTGGATTTTTTCGCATGCGCCCTTCATTTTTGTCCATTAAAAGATTCATCTCTAAAGTAGAAGTAGAAATAGCAGTTTGTTATGATTTAAGTGTATACTTATGAATTTCTAAATTTATTGTTGCAATTTTTTATAAAATTTCGCCGACAAAGGTGACTTAAGTGTGTATGCTTATCAGCTATTGTAAACGTCAAGAGATAATAACGAAATATGTGTTAATTAAATTCGAATAAGATCGGATGTTGACTTTTGAAGTTTTTATCTAAGCAATAATAACAATACCTTAATATACCAAGAATTTCATATAACTCGCAATATATAAATGCAGTAAGTATAGTTACGAAACTACTATGCTATACAGGGTGTCTCACGTAACTGGTTCGTTAGAACTTTTTTAGGTTCCAGTATTCGTACAGTTTTGAAATTTTGGTAGTATGGGTTGTTCAGTCGCAACTTTCGATCTAAAATATTTTCAAGATGACTGCCACTTCCGGTCTACCGGAAGTAGACCATAATTTCGTTATTTTAAATGGAATGCTATAGTTTTTATTGCACCTTTTAATTGTACGTAAAAAAATATGTTGACTTTCATAAAAGTTATTGGTACCTAGCGTTTTTCGTTTTGGAGTTATTTTGATTTTAAGGTTTTTTTGGCAAATTTCACCATGCACTTTAAAATCCTATATCCCAGCCAACGTTCATTCAAAAAAGCTCTAAATTAGCACGTATACGTCNAAGTCATATCACATTGATTAAAAAAAATCGTCGATTTTTAAGCCACATGATGATTCTTGAATTTTTCCCAAGTTTCTTAATTTTTCTTTTGTTAAAAGAGAACGTTCCTAAATTTTAACATGCACTTGTAACACTTCATCCTTAATTTCATTTTACAACTTATTAAACTTTAATTTTGTAAATTAGTAACTAATAATCTTTTTTAACAAAACAAAAAGAAATCTATTTGTAGAGTCTCTGAAGATGGCCAAGGATCGAAGCTGGTTAGACTTAAATCACATAAAACAAGTTGAAAAGTCAAGTGATGCATAACGTGGTCCAAATATTCTATGAAATTAAAATTTACATAAAACTTTTTATGCTAAATTGCAAATACAGATTTTGAAACATTAAATTAAAATTAATCCCCTCATTTAAATGTATTACAACAAATCAATAATTCGTTGAAATAGTAAATTTTGGCTGGTGAAAAGCAGATAACTAGAACATTATTATTCGCGATTCGAAATTATTCCGAGCAGAGATCAAAGCGTAAACACAAATACGCCCTGTTCAATCAGTGGAAATCAATGCTATTTACAGAGCAATTACAACTCTTTGATTAAAGCGTTGGTCGTTGGACACACCTGCCTATTTTCCGATATTCTTTCCTACTTTCCAATCAGGGATTGTTTGTGGATTTGTTTCCGTTCGACTGCGAACCAATCCTTCTCCATGTTAAGCCCGCGGTGGATTCCGCGTCGAATACACGAATCAACATCTCCGGGGGAAATGGGACTTTTTTAATATTTCCGGGCGAGTGCGAATCTCTCTATCGCGTCCAGAGAGCTAATTGTCGGTGACCCCGGATCAGAACCCCGAAAAGGGGATCATTGTCGCCAGTAATTGAGGGGGTTGGATTTCCATACGTACCCCTGGAGGTTTCAGTCAATTTACACTTTGCACAACGTGACACGGCTCATTGATCTCGCTCTCTATGTTTAGCTTTGGATACGCTTTCCATAAATTCAAACTCAAATTCGCCTACAATACTTTTTTAGTTGACCGATTTTTATTTTTACAGATCAAATTAAATTTGGAATTAATCGATTAGTATCAAAATCATCCGATGATGAAGACGATCATGGTTACGATAACAATAATTTGTCAAAATCGAATGGCGATAAAGAACTGATGATGATGTCCCCTCGATTAAGGGAGAGTCAATGGGATAGATCCCCATCCAGATTGGATCAAAGTCCGAGACCGAGTCCTAGTACAAGCCCTGAATTGGAAGTTGATTCTCCGGTTCATTCGAGAACAAATTCCCCATCTCCCAGACCACCTTCAATAACTGAGATACCGAAAAGTTCTTCATCGTCGCCGAAGAAATCTGAAACTTTTTCTGTAAGCGCTCTTTTAAGACCGGATATTCCAAAGGGACGACCGCTGGTGCAAGAAACGGTTTCGGTGACGCGATCTTATATGTATCCAACGATTATGGTAGATTTTTTAAGAGATACGCATTTAAAATCGGTTCAAGAATACAGTTCGCAATTTTTACCAAGAAATTTTGTGCACCCCGGATTAGTTCCTCCAATTTATCCAACTCCTAAAGAAAGTGAAGATCGTCTTTTAGCAAACCCAACCTCCATATACATAGGAGCCATGGCAGCAGCCCTTGCAAACGGACAAGCAGCAGCTGCAGCTAGCCAATATCCACCTCCAGTTCAACAAGATGAACTTTACAGGTTGAGAAATCAATTTGGGGCCGCTATGCACCCACATCATCATCACTTACTAATGAGACCAGGCATGATGCCTTTGGGCGACGTGTATTCTTGTATAAAATGTGAAAAAATGTTCTCAACCCCACACGGATTGGAAGTGCACGCAAGACGATCTCATAATGGAAAGAGACCTTTCGCTTGTGAATTGTGTAATAAGACTTTCGGGCACGAAATCAGCTTAAGTCAACATAGGTAAGAAAAAAATTTTTTTTTAGTAATTATTAGTGATTTTAAATCTGAAAGTATTGGATTTAAAATATTTTAGATAAAAATCAAGACTTTGATCTGTTTCGTTGATAAAGATGTCAAGATACGATGTATGCATAATCAAATTCCTTTTTTTGTCCGCGTGGAAATCGGAAGGATTACTTAAATTAAAAAAAAAAATAAACTTTGGTGGATAATCTTGACAATGAGGAAAAGATATTAAGCGAAATAATAAATATAAATAATCTATGTTAAATTTATTTTTATCACGTAATTGTTCAATTTTTATGGTGGCACGTGAGTTATTTCGCGTAACTTTATATTATTACTACGGCATTAAAATGATTTGTCATAATCGTTTTTAGAGATGAGTTAAAAAAATTCCAAGATTAAATAATAATGTTTGTTCTTTATTTTTATATTTTTTATGTTTTCTTTTTCAGAGCTGTACATAACGTAGAAAAAGTATTCGAATGTAAACAGTGTGGAAAATCCTTCAAGAGATCGTCAACGTTATCAACACATCTCCTCATCCATTCTGACACAAGACCGTATCCTTGTCAGTTCTGTGGAAAGAGATTCCATCAAAAATCCGACATGAAGAAACACACCTACATTCACACCGGTGAGTTAAAATAAAAAATCATTTTCATCTTAATAACAAAACGATTAATTTTCTCGATCATCCCCCGTTAACTTAATAATTAACATCCGGGTAATAATTCACCGCGATCTAGAAAATGAAAGGGGTGTATACACCCTGCAAAATTTACCCCTTACCAGAGGCATGTCTTAGAGCTCTAGAGCTCTTATTAATTGTCGACGTGGCTTACCAGTGAATTATTTACTAATTACTGAAGGCGGCGCCACAGAAACTTTATCCATTGGCGAAGCAGACGGTTTTAATAAATCCCTTTTCCACAATAGAGTTTCAACGTACTTAATCGTTTCTTTCAAAAATTATTAATTTTTTAATCTAACTAACGNGGTGACCGGAAATGTGCGATTTCTTTTGGTCTCGATATATCCAGAACTAATAGATTCATTATCAATTTTTTGAAATTTTTCCTCGTGATGGTCGTTAGGTTGGGTTGAGTTGGTTTACCTAACTTTTAACTAATGGCAACAATAATACAAACATGACCAAAAACTGTCAACATTCCATAGCTTTCTAATAAAAAAAACCTGCATTTCTGCATGTTTTAATAAATATCGCAATATGAGGCAAACTACAATAAATAGGTATGGGAATGTGTATAGGTAATTTGTAGAGAATTAAATTCTCTTCCTGATAGCCTAAAAAAATATGGGGCGTTCCATTTAAAATATTCGACTTTCTTGCCATTGAATATGGAGAAACAGTAATTCAATTTTTGACCATCCTGTATAAGATACTCCGATACAACAAATGGCAATCTATTTGACAACATCTGAAGAGTAATCGTGCCAAAATAGATCTTTTTTGAATGAACTTTGGCTGAGATATGGAGTTTTAAAGAGCTTGTTGAAATTTATCAAAAAAAGTTTAAAACCAAAATAACTCGAAAACAAAAAACGCTAGGTACCAATAACGTTTATGAAAGTCAACCTATTTTTTTACGTACAATTAAAGTGTGTAATAAAAACTATAGCATTCCATTTAAAATAGCGAAGTTATGGTCTACTTCCGGTAGACCGGAAGTGGCGGCCATCTTGAAATTATTTTAGATCGAAAGTTCCGAATGAACAACCCATGTTACCAAAATTTCAAATCTCTACGAATAGTGGAAGATGAAAAAGTTCTAATGAACCAGTTGCGTGAGACACCCTGTATATTTGGGTAGTTTTACAATGAAAAAGTTTTGCTTGGAAAAAGGCGACGTCCTTATAATAACTCTGAGTTTTTATCTTAAGAGACCCACAATAAAAATGTCGTTCAACAAAAATATACCACAATTTAACGCTAAATAACAATTAAAACTGAAACTAACACTAGACCTAGATCTAGAAACATTCGGATTTAGCCGTCTTGAGAGACGTGCGGCTAAATCCGAATGATTCTAGTTCTAGGTCTAGTGTTAGTTNTATTTACTAATTACTGAAGGCGGCGCCACAGAAACTTTATCCATTGGCGAAGCAGACGGTTTTAATAAATCCCTTTTCCACAATAGAGCTTCAACGTACTTAATCGTTTCTTTCAAAAATTATTAATTTTTTAATCTAACTAACGATACCGTCTTAGTAAACGTAAAGAAATAATAACGGAATTAAATTCGAATAAGATCGGAATTTGACTTTTGAAGTTAAACTATAACTAACACTATACCTAGAATTAGAATCATTGGGTTTAGCCGCATGTCTCTAAAGATGGCTAAACCCGAATAATTCTAGTTCTAGGTATAGTGTCAGTTCTAGTTTTACACTGGTACTGTCATTAGAACTAACATTAGATCTAAAACTAGAAACATTTGGGTTTAGCCGTCTTGCAACATCGAAAATTTTATCAAAACTTCAAATATTGTTTTCTCAAAAACTAAAAGTTATTTTTCAAAACGGGTTGGTTCATTGGAAAGAGGACACTTTTATTAANGTTGCGTGAGACACCCTGTATATTTGGGTAGTTTTACAATGAAAAAGTTTTGCTTGGAAAAAGGCGACGTCCTTATAATAACTCTGAGTTTTTATCTTAAGAGACCCACAATAAAAATGTCGTTCAACAAAAATATACCACAATTTAAGGCTTAATAACAATTAAAACTGAAACTAACACTAGACCTAGATCTAGAAACATTCGGATTTAGCCGTCTTGAGAGACGTGCGGCTAAATCCGAATGATTCTAGTTCTAGGTATAGTGTTAGTTCTATTAACAATGTTAGTGTAGAATTAGAACTAATACTATACCTAGAACTAGAAACATTCGGGTTTAGCCGCACGTCTCTCAACACTGCTAAACCCGAATGATTCTAGTTCTAGGTATAGTGTTAGTTCCTATGACAGTGTTACTATAAAACTAGAACTAACACTAGACCTACAACTAGAAACATTCGGGTTTAGCCGAACGTCTCTCAAGACGGCTAAACCCGAATGATTCTAGTTCTAGGTATAGTGTTAGTTCTATTAACAGTGCTAGTGTGAACTAGAACTAATACTATACCTAGAACTAGAAACATTCGGGTTTAGCCGCACGTCTCTCAAGACTGCTAAACCCGAATGATTCTAGTTCTAGGTATAGTGTTAGTTCTTATGACAGTGTTAGTATAAAACTAGAACTAACACTAGACCTACAACTACATTCTAGATCTAGGTATAGTGTTAGTTCTAGTGATAGTTCTAGTTTTAGTTCAACAAAAATATGCAACAAAGTGATATCTAGTGCTAACTAGCGCCACCCAGCAATGCCATAAGAACTAACCTAGACCTAGTTATTTAGCCTTAAATCGTGGTATATTTTTATTGAACGACATTTTTATTGTGCGTCTCTTAAGATGGAAACTCAGAGTTATGATAAGGACGTCACTTCTTTCCAAGCAAACCTTTTCCTTTGCAAAACTACCCAAAGCCTGTACTATTAAGATGTGTTGCATTTTATGTTGGACAGTGCAAGTGCATAGTAGTTTCGTAACTATCGTTATTGCATCCATATATTGCGAGTTATATGAAATTCCCGGTATGATTCATTCAAATGACAATAAGATTTTATTGGGTAATATATTGAAATGATAGGATATTAACTAGATAATAATCGCTTATATCTATACATGAAGTGGATCTTCAATATGGAATTGGACCAAAGTCCAAAGAGAGACTGAACAATGGAATATAATAAAGCCACCCTAGAGGCGTCGCGATAAATCAAAAGTAATCATTAAGAAGAGACCGGGTACGGGATTTCGGAGGCAAATTGGAATTCCAGAGGCCCGGCTTCAATATCTGCCCGTTAATAATGCCCGGGCACGTCCCTGGCGTACTCGAGGAGGCTATAAATTCAGATTGCCGCGCGCCCTAAGCGTGCCACACTTTTACCCCCGCATACCATACAATATTTTTTTTTTCTTGAAAATTTTACTATAACATATTTATTTCGTATCATATAAAAACAACGAAGTAAATCACTCAATAATTTATCCCCCAACTTCTTGTTCCGAACAAATCGATCCAATAAATCTGAAAACAAAACCTCAAATGGTCGAAAAAAAGAAAAAAAATCAAAAATACACTTCGGGGTTGCGGCTTCGCAATCATTCCTTAAAACGACTTATATGAGCAATAGAGCTTAATAATTGAGCGTTATGGCTTTTGGGAAGGCTTTCAGAGAGATTGAGCGGGCCTCGCGGGGGGAATGAGGGGTTTGTGCCGCCCCCGCGACGACTGCGTCGCGGCGAAACTCGGGGGTGCTCCTCACCCTTCTGCCCTTTCTATCTTTCTCTCTCATTCGACGACAGAAAGCAGTCGAAAGGGGCGGCAGGGAGGGCGGTCTGCATCGTCGTAATGGCGGCAGATTTCGCGCCGTGGTTATGTTTTAATAGAATTTACGATTATTGCGCGTACCGAGAGAGGGTACGTTACGCTCTTCTGGTGTGGATGCGGCCCCCGGTTGGGCAGATTTTAGCTCCGTTTAAGTGGATACTTGGTTTGCACTTAAGGAAATGATTCCCGTCGTTGGTTTATGACCTCCTAGGGTCTTGTAAGCCTTTCTGTTGCTGTTAATCCGTACCACCATTACCTCCCCAAGAAAGTTTTAAGTCTTCAAATCTACCCCTTAGTTTAACTACTTAAACATGACACAATATGATTTATATTTTGTTGATAAATTATCAAATAAATCTTTTTGTCCGAAATTTGTAGCTTTCAGATGTCGTTTATCGAGTTTAACGATCAAATGGTGGATTGGTTAATCGAGGATGGGTACAGTTCAGGGGTGGTGAACGGGGAAATGAGGGGTTAGGAAAAAGGGTCTGATGAAAAATCCACATCGCGTATCCCGCCGACGAGCAATCCTGCAAGGAAAACACTCGACCAGCCGCGCTCTCGATACGGTCCAATCAGGCCAACCACTTGAGCCGGCAAATTTAGATTGGCCCCAGGCTAAATATTTTCTTTACTAACCCGGTGGGATTAAAGTTTACAGAACGCTCAAACCAGTATACCGCAGACGGGAAATGTATTGATTTATTAGGTGTCGAAGAAAACCCAAAAGAAAATTTTTCTGTTTTAATTTTCAATAAATTTTATGGTTGTAATTGCTGGTGGAAGCAGAACGGTAAAAGGGATTGAAATCCGTAAAAAGCACTACGAAAAGTGGTAAATAATTGAGGAGGTAACCCTCAATACGAGCCAGAGCCATCTGCTCTCATAATCAGAATTTACGTCGAAGTTTCGCACCCTGTACACGTCAGGATTGCCGATGTGATAAATTGGGATTGTGAATCTAGATTTTTCATCTTTCCTCTGTACTATTCTTTTTTAATTTTCTTTTTTTTTCTGTTCGTGTTATTATTATTATTTTTTTCTTTTTTTTGATTGACAGACTAATAAAGCATCAAAACCTACGTTCATCAGAGCGAACGTTTAGTACAGCAAATCAAACAATGCGTCGGATTGTTTACTGAAATCGCTGTTTTTGTTCGTTTCGCCTCTTAAATCGT